CTCTAGCTGGTCTGCAGAGTTCACAGAAGCCAGCTGGCTGGCTCGTTTTGGGCAATTGGTGTAGCCCAAGAGAGCTCGGCCAAATTCCCCACCTGTGGGCGTGCCCTTAGGTGCTCTCCGGGGTAATCAGCAATGCCCCAGTAAACACAGATAAGATCCTATGGGCCTTTCTCCTGCCAGGTTAGTTCCTCAACAGCTCACCTGATAGCTCAGGGTGATGTCTGGATCCAAGGTGGTGCCCTGAGGTCACAGGGCTGTTGTGGGGGTTGAGATGTGTGGTTGTGGAGCTGCAAGGGGGGTGGGAGAACGGGAGGAAAACAAGGGACTAGGGGGCAAGGAGCACAGGGCTTGGACACTATCACCAATAGGTGGGGGCGGGGCTTGGGCGCTGCTGGGGGTTTATGCAATAGCACCCTGTGTGTGAAGGGTCACATAGGTGTGGGTTGCAGGGGGAGTCACACAATGTCGGGTAGTCTTTGTTCCTCTGGGGTCTCACAGTCTTCGCTCCACTGGAGTTCCTCTGTAGGTGGCTGGCTGTTGTTCTTCCCGGGTCTCTTCCAGGTCCCTCTCGCGTGCAACCCTGTCTGGCGGCGGCGTTCTCAAGTGTGAGAATTATAATATAAAGAATCCAATTGAAAAATGGGCACAGGAAATGAACAGACACTTCACCAAAGAAGACATTCAGATGGCCAACAAGCACATGAAGAAATGTTTAAAATCCCTAGCTCTAAGAGAGATGCAAATCAAAACAACTGTGTGATATCATCTCACCCCAGTCAGAATAGCAAAATTTAACAGAACAGCAAACAACAAATGCTGGCAATGTTGTGGAGAAACTGGAACCCGTATTCACTGTTGGTGGGGCTGAGAAAGATGGGATAAATTATGTATACTCCATTGAAACAGATGAGGGATAGAACTATTTAAAAATCATGCATGATTAGGTGTTATTGTCTCAACAGGAGTCCAGAATGAAGGCTGCATAGTGGAGTGAACTTGAGGGGAGGGATTGTATAACAATGAGAGAATTTTTCTTTTATTTTTCAAAGAGAAGAGTGAACTGTGGGGGAGGTTGGGCAGGGAGAAAAGTACAACAGTGAGTGAATGGAAATACAAAGTTTCTGTAAACTTTCATGAAATTTAATAAAAGAAAAAGAAATTGAAAAAAGTCCAACAAACAAGAAAAATAAAACAGAGTCAGTATTACGTTTGGAGCTTTTAAAGTCCTTTTATAATAAATTAGTGTCTTCCTCTCAGGGTCATCTCTGCAGCACCAAGAAGGAAACCTTGAAGAAGGCCACCTTGGAGTCACTCTACTTTCTGTGACCAAGGAATATGAACCCAACAAAGTGGCCATTAAAGACCTCACTGTCACCTTCCACAGCAACCAAATCACTGCCCTGCTGGGGACAAATGGTGCAGGAAAGACGACAATCATGTAGGTCCCATTTAACCTTGAGAAAGTAGTAGCCATTTGATTTCTTAAAATTAGTTTATTTGTGAGCCTGGAGCCTGATTTGTATATTTTCATATTCTCAATGCAGAGTTAAAAGATGAAGAAAAAAAAGCCTTGCCACCAGTCAAATCTTTTATTTGCTTTGGGTAGGATAGATCAAATTTCTGCTCTAATTCATTTCCCCTCCATATCCCTCATCCAAACCATTCATTATGGCTTTACTTCAAAGCACTGTGTCCCTTTTAAGAGTTTTCCCCTGCTGGATTTACTTTTCTTTGCACATCTACAGAACGATATTTGTTTTTT